TAGTAAGATTCTATCTCTACAATTTTTTTTTTAATTAACCAAAGGTGGTGTTGCATGTCTGTAGCCCCAGCTACTAGGGAGGCTGAGGCAGGAGGATTTTTTAATTTTTTTTTTTAAATAGGCAGGGTGCAGTGGCTCAACCTGTAATCCTAGCACTTTGGAAGACAAGGTGAGGGGACCACTTGGGCCCAGGAGTTGGAGACCAGCCTGGGTGACATAGGGAGACCCCGACTCTATTAAAGAATTTAAAATTAGCCAGGCAGGCATGGTGGCACACACCTGTAGTCCCAGCTACTTAACAGGCTGAGGTGGGAGGATTCCTTGAGTGGGAGGTCAAGGCTGCAGTGAACTGAGATTAGGCCACTGCATTCCAGCATGGGTGATACAGTAAGAGCCTATCTCAAAAATAAAAACAAAAAAATTCTTTAAAAGAAAATTAAAGAATAAGGAAAACAAAGGGTGGAAAACTGTCAAAGAACTAATACCAGATAAATTTACATAACCTAAACTTCCAGATTAAGAAAATTTACCAAGTGCCCAGCACAATGAATGAAGAAAAGCACCACCAAGGTATACATCATGAATTCTAAAACTAAAAAGAAGATTTAAATGCTGAAATGATTGCATACAGTTAAAATCCAAAGCAATCTTTAAAAAAAAAAAAAAAGCTGCTAGAACTAATAAATGAATTTACTTAGGTCCCAAGTTACAAGGTCAATATACATACTGCAACTACATTTCTATATGCTATAGTGACCAAAAAAAACTTGGGAAATGAAAACTTTTTAAGATATCGTTTGTAATAGCATCCAAAAAACCCATAAAATACTTAGGGACAAATTTAGCAAAATAAGTACAAGATTTATGTACCAAGAACTATAAAACATCCTTTGCAAAAAATTAAAGAAGACTTAAATGGAGAAAGATATCTTGCCCATGGACTAGAAGACTCAATAGTATAGTGTCAATTTTCTCTAAATTGATCCATGGATTCTACATAATCCAAATCAAAATCCCAGCTGGATGTTTTATGGAAATTGATAAGCAGATTCTAAAATTTCTCTGGAAACATAGTCAAAGCAACTTAGGAAAGAGGAACTGGCCCCTTCCCTAAGAGTCACCTGTCCAGGTTGGAAGAAGACAATGAAGGACTCCAGGAGAGAGGTCTTTGAGAAAGAAAAATTAATAGATTATCTGCTGAATGTGGATGTGTTGAGGGAGACATTGGAACTGATGTCATGATAAATACATGGAACGTCCTCTCCTCAACTGCAGGGAAAACAAAACTTGTACAAAGAAAGGAAGTGTAAACATCGAACCCAACTGTGAATAATTTTTTACCCAGTGATAATAACAAAAAATTGAAGGTTGACTTAACCAAAAAAGGTGGTATCTGTTTCTGGAGAATAGAGAAGGCAGTATTTGTGTTTGCTTGGATGGAGGTGAAAGCAGGAGAGAGATTGATGGAGGTGAAAGCAGGAGAAATATTACATTCTCAAAGTCAAAAGAGAGAGTCAGTGATGATACCTAAACCTGGAGGGGGAAAAAAACAAGAACTAGCAGAGTGCTGGTCACAGTGGCTCACACCTGTAATCCCAGCACTTTGGGAGGCTGAGGTGGGGGGATCACTTGAGGTCAGGAGTTCAAGATTACCCTGGTCAACGTGGTGAAACCCTGTCTCTACCAAAACAATGCAATAATTAGCCAGGCGTAGTGGCAGACGCCTATAGTCCCAGCTACTCAGGAGGCTGGGGTGGGAGAATGACTTGAACCAGAGAGGTGGAGGTTGCAGTGAGTTGAGATCATGCCACTGCGCTGGATCCAGCCTGGGAGACTGAGTGAGATTAAAAAAAAAAAAAAAAAAAA